AGGTATATATTACAGAATACAGACATCGGATCCATAAACCCAATTTTGCCTTCAAACACTAGAACAGCAAAGTAAATCTGAAGAAACTGGAAGGAGGAAAATGATTCAAACGGAAATAAAGTCAACGGCATAGAAAATATCACAACAAAAATTCAGTGAGACCAAAATACAGTTCTTGAAAACTCAGTGAAACTGACACTATGTTTATACACATGAAACAAGCAAAAAAGAGAACAGACTCAAATAACTTAACAAGAGAAATGACAGAGAGGACATTACTAACAACCTTACTAAAATAATAATCAAAAACACTATGGAAAAATGAAGGCACAAGAATTTGGTCAATGTAGATACAGTAGATTCTCAGAAAGAAATAAACCCCCAAAATGAATGTAGTCAAACTAGAAATTGTGAATATACTTTTAAATTGAAATGAGACTCTATTAGCAGGGAAACCAAAAACCAAACACAAAAAATGAATATAATTCCAGGACCACAAGGCTTCACCAGTGAGAACTCCCAGTTACAGGGTAATTAAAATCCATGATTCACAAATCCTTCCAAAAAGGAGATTAAGAGGGAAAACATCCAATTTTCTTCCATCAGACCAGCATTATCCCAACATCAAAAACAAACACATAATAAAGAAAGTGGCATATAAATATCTGTCATGGCCGGCGCCGCGGCTCACTAGGCTAATCCTCCGCCTAGCGGCGCCGGCACACCAGGTTCTAGTCCCGGTCGGGGCGCCGGATTCTGTCCCGGTTACCCCTCTTCCAGGCCAGCTCTCTGCTGTGGCCAGGGAGTGCAGTGGAGGATGGCCCAAGTGCTTGGGCCCTGCACCCACATGGGAGACCAGGAGAAGCACCTGGCTCCTGCCATCGGATCAGCGTGGTGCGCCAGCCACAGCGCGCTGGCCGCGGCAGCCATTGGAGGGTGAACCAACAGCAAAGGAAGACCTTTCTGTCTCTCTCTCTCTCTCTCTCTCACTGTCCACTCTGCCTGTCAAAAAAATAAAGAAGAAGTAGAACCCTGAATGTAGCACCTCCCTGTCTCTCTGATCCCAAGAATAAAGATCTGTAACACTTAAAAATATAATTCAAAAAGTTCATAGGAAATGGACTAAACAGATAATTCGCATTATCCATTAACTATTTGAAGACTTTAATGCCAGGACAACTAGTCCCCGACAGCTCATCCACCTGCCAGCACATACCTGGAAGCCAACAAGGATGGTCCCCAGCCAAGAGCTGTGCTCTTATGAAGACAATTCGATATCATACAGAAGAGAGGACAGCCAAGTCCTACAACCTGTGGAAACTGGTAAAGAAAAGTATTGAGCAAGTAACTCTCCGTGACTTTTAAGTAGTGATCATGAATCAGAATCTTTACAAGCTGACGCACTGCCTGCTTATTTCCTGGAGCCACAGGCAAGAGGTTAGAGTCTTGAGTAAAGGGCTGTTGGGAGAACCTGAGCTTCCCATCTCTGCTCCTTATTCTCCTTGAACAACTTGCAAAGCCTTCAACCACATGCAATACCATGCACTCGTAACATATGACTGAAAGGCACAAAATCCTTAGCCTGTCCCAGTGCATCACCACCAAATGAAGAGACAAGTGACAGAACTGAGCAATTCTCAGACAAGTGAGAAGCTACCCTTTCCAGGGATTATCAACCTGTCTTCTCCCTGCCACGATTCCTACTCAGTCATGACTGCAACTGCAGGACAATTCCCTAAACATCCTCACCCATTAATATTTTTTCTTCTGGCATCTGAGATAAAAACCTAAGAAACAGAAAGTCCCCTCTTTCTTTCTCTCCCTGGTTCCTTCTCTGTACCTCTGACTTCCTCCTCTCCTCCATTCCCTATTCCTCTGTCCCAGTCCACCCCATTTCCCCATCTGCCCCTTTTCCTCTCCCTCTCTCAGTAAGGGTATTCACAGGCATTCATTCAAATATTTCCTATCATCATGGAACAACATCGGCTCTTTTTTTCCAATCTTGGTTTGTATTTGTTAAGGAAAATAACACATCATTGGAAGCCTCAAGATATTTATCAGGAGTGAGCATCTGATGCGGCAGTTAAGAAGCCCCATGGGATGCCCACAGCCCATATCAGAGTGCCTGGCAGCAATTCCTGGCTCCCGCTTCTGAATCCAGCGTCCTGCCAATGTAGACCCTGGCAGGTAGTAGGTGATGACTCAAGTACTTGGGTCCCTGCCACCCACGTAGCAGACCTGGACTGTGTTCTTAGTTCCTAGCTTCAGCCTGGCACAGCCCCAGCTATTGAAGAAATTTGGACATTTGGGCTATGAAGCAGTGGATGGGAGTTTCTCTCTCTTTCTCTTTCTCTTTCTCTTTCCCTCTCTCATAGATAAAAATAATTGTAAAAAAATGAATTCTCTTACAAGCAGATATTTAGGGGATATTCATTTAGTTCCACTTACAGTCTTAGAGTAAACTATACCACTGGATTTCCATAGAACACAAAGAATGTCTCTTTCTCTTTAATGTCAGGACAACACATTCAAGCTCTACAAAAAAACATGACCAAGACTGAGTGAAGGTCATAATTCAGAGAGCACCTGCTGTCTGTAATTATTTCAGAAATGCAGACCTCACCTGACCATGTGAGAAAATTTTATGGTTTTGGGAGATGTTAAAATTGTGAACATCTAACCCACAAATCAGAGAATTAGAGACTTAGAACTTAGAATAGCACATAACTTGCAAATATGAAATTGAGTTCCCATGAGCAAGACTTAATCTGAAGACAAATAATGTAACTGAGAGTATATCTGTAAAAACAATAAAAATTTTTGAATTAGGGCAATGGTAGAAAAATCTGAAACAGTAGAGTGAATTATAAATAATACACTTCATTTAACAAAATTTTTAAGTATAAGGCGCAACACTATGGCACTGCAGGTGAAGCCATCACCCACCATGCCAGCATCCCTTACAAGCACCAGTACACTGGCCACTCCACTTCTAATCCAGCTCCCTGCTAATGCACCTGAGAAAGCAGTGGAAGATGGCCCAACTACTTGAGCCCTTTCCACTCACATGGGAGACCCTGATGAAGCTCCTGGCTCCTGGATTCGGCTTGGCCCAGCCCCAGCTGTGGCAGCAATTTAGGACTGAACCAGTGGATGGAAGATGTCTGTCTTTCCCTTTCTCTGTAACTCTGCCTTTCATATAAATAAATACATCTTTTTTAAAAAATTTAAGTATAAAGAAAAAGCAAATCAAAAATCCACAATTCAATTTCCTTTTCTCTAAATATATAACTGATCTCATACTACATTTGTAATTTTATATCCTTCTTTCATTTATTATCAACCTAAATATTTATCCATGTTTTAAAATTTTGTTCCTAAGAAATAGTTTTAATTACAGTGTGAATGTACCATAAGTTATTCACCTGTGCCCTTATTAATTACATGTTTAGGTGGTTTCCAATTTATACAAATATTGATAATAAAGACTTTTTAACCTTTTTATTTGAATCTCAGACGGTCTGCTTCATGTAGATATCTTGGTCTTACATTCCTGGATAAAATGCTTGGACATTGTTAAGCTTGATTGCATCGTGTCAAATTGTATTACAGAAAAATACCACCAGGAGTCCATGGAAGAAGCTGTTATTGCACTATGTTATTTTTATTTCTGTTATTTTAGGGGTTTTTTCAGTCCTAAAACCTAGTAACCAACCTCCTCTCTCTTCAGAAAAGTCCATAAGAGAAGAACGAAAATGACTGGTGTTATTTACATAAATTATTGCTCTTTCAAGCCAGGTTTTGAGCATCCTTCAAACCAGTCTGTCACTGTTGGGTGAGGACAGGGTGTAACCACCTAATTCTCTGAGTATTCTTAAGGGAACACCAAGGACAGGTTAGAGCCTATCTTTCTTGTATTTTTCCCTGTGACTCTTTCACCCCATGGTACTTCTCTATGTATTGAGTTTCTCCATTCAGCAATGTCTGCTACAGGATTCATCATCTAAACACTTAGAGACAGGCTCAGAAATGTAATTATCTGGTTATATTCCTGAACAAAATGGAGGCTAGAAAGCAACAGTGCACATGAAGGTCATCCACGTGGGGAGTGACCTGGCTAATGCCCTGAGAGTTCTCCCGTTCACCATGAGGGTTTCAGAAAAAGCCATCACCCTCATTATCTCTGTGTACTTGGGGAATAGAACCCTACTCATCTTTAGTATGTGCACCCAAAGAGAATGGTAAGATTTTTCTAGACTTTTATTTTGGAAGTGAAGGTAAGGATATCTGGTTAGCGGAGGGAAAAAGTTGAGGGAACAAACACTAATTCCTTGACAAAAGTACAGACCATAAGGTAGTCTTTGGCACCATCATGTCCCTCCCTGCTGCTGGAGGAAACAGCAGTAAAACCACTGTGACACGTGGCACCTCTCCGTGCTTATTCAGCTTCCTTAGAGAAGTCTGAAAATTTTGCACATTTTTCTATTATTTCCTGAAAATAGACTTTAAGAGCATTTTTAAGTTCACTGAAAAACTACATGGGAATAAAGAAAACACATTCTCTTTTCTTTCACATCTCCTTGTCCATTCTGATTGAACCACTGAGAAGACTTCAGTCACTGGAGCCCTTGAGAAGAGACATGGCCAAAGATGAGGCAGTGCTAGGAGGGAGGCAATGGCCCTTGTAAGCCCTTAGTGCTCTTCTCTCATAGAGGGAGGAGACGCTGGTCTTAGCCATACCAAATGGGTACCATAGCTTAAATACTGACTAAAAACTGGGGGGAGCATTTTAAAGAGAATTTATTCCTGTGAAATTTAGCCCAATTACCTCAGACTTTGAGAAAAGAGTAAATAATTGTGTTAAGGCAGGGTTTCTGCATCATTTTCCTTGTTTCAAGTGAATCTCCTCATTTCAAGTAGTATGAGGTCAAGAGGCAGAATCCAGGAAATCTAAGGACACGTGATTATGCATAAAACCTCTAGGGCTAAGGAAACATATGCAGATACACACAAACACACACACACACACACACACGAAAGTTCTTTGAAATATTTGTGGAAAATGAAATTAGAGAGAAGTTTATTTTGGTGTAATGGTTTTGAAATCTTTGCATTTTTTTCAAAATATTCATTTTCCATAAACCTTGTATGTGTGTCTGTGGGTGAGTTCAGTCTAATAATTATGTCCAAATGTGAATGAAACACCAAGATTTTTGCAGGGAACATTCTGACAGACTTTCTAATTGTGTGACATTGACCTAGTCAGGAAAATGTATTGAACCTCTTTCTTCATCAAAACGTATGGATCTTTCTGATTTCTTCCAGCCAGAGGATAAAGGAAATGTGGAAAGTAGACACACAATACATGCTAACTCCAAATGTTGGTGCCACCAACTAAAGGGGACTAACAGCAAAATTAGGATAACAAGAAGAAAGCCACGAATCAAACTGGTGGCAAAGGGGTCATCAGGAAAGGCCACATGCATCTCTGTTTTCTCCTTCATGACATGACAGCCTTGACTGGTCATCTTGCCAGAGCTGGGATGCACTTTATCTGCTGATCAATTATTCAATAAATCTAATCACAGAAAGAATCAGATTTCCTTGGGCTGACATGTTCTCAGTGACTCAGTAACCCATCCCTCCACTTCCTAAAAGCACACCAATGGCCTTATACTCTTTCTGTGCGTCTTCTGTGAATGCACATCAGCCTTTATGCTGTCTTTGATTCACACTTTGTTCCAGTCTGACGTTAGGTTTTTCTGTAAGTTTGACAACAATCACTTCTGCTTGTATAAGCTGCCTTTTGTCTGTTGTGCATGTGCCTTTAGATACAAACTGACCAGCAAGCTCTTTGGTAGCACACAAGTGTCTTTATTGTATTCTTTTTCCTCTCATCAGATTTCCTGGTTGTTATGGAGTGACATTTTTATCTTTAGTCCTCTTGAATCAAGATCTCCTTTAATATCTCAAAGCAAAGAATAATAGCATCTAAGTAAAGAATATACAAATAATGTAATTATATGCTTTAAAAAGGTGAACATGGCCAGCGCCGCAGCTCACTAGGCTACTCCTCCACCTGTGGCGCCAGCACCCCGGGTTCCAGTCCCGGTTGGGGCGCCAGATTCTGTCCCGGTTGCTCCTCTTCCAGTCCAGCTCTCTGCTGTGGCCCGGGAGGGCAGTGGAAGATGGCCCAAGTGCTTGGGCCCTGCACCCCCATGGGAGACCAGGAGGAAGTACCTGGCTGCTGGCTTTGGATTGGCGCTGCACACTGGCCACAGCGCCATTTAGAAGGTGAACCAACAGAAGGAAGACCTTTCTCTCTGTCTCTCTCACTG